CCTCTATCCTTTCTCATACCCTTAAATAACTGGTCAATGTGTTTCCCTGAGTCCTGTGACTTGTTCTGGGAAATTAATTAAACCCAAGAGGGGGCATTAGAACCTCTCATCTACAGCCATGGGTCAGAAGCGCAATCAATAACCTGGGCTCGCAACTGAGTGGAACCGCACATGTGAGGGTGCGCATGTGGTGTGCGTGTGTGGGTGTAGCAGATTTGTGGGGCTGAGCCCTCAACCTGCAGGACCTGACACTGCATCTGGGTAGACGGTGTAACGACGACCTCCTGCTAGCTCCAGGGACAGAGCTTCTGTGAAACACTCATTCCTCCCAGTTTTGCCACAGAAATGAGCTGGACGGCACTGCAGCTTCTGTGCACAGAGGTGGCCAGGGTCATCCCCCCCACCCTGGGGAGTCCTGGAGCTGGGGCTCTGCTCCCATGTGGCCGGCCCAGGACGGTGCTCACAGGCCCCCTGCACTCAGGAGTCCCACAGCCTTTCTGAGTCTGTGTTCCCTCTCTGCAAAATGGGGGTGAGGACAGGGTCCCCCTCATAAGGCAGCCGTGAGGAGTATATAAGGGAGTATGTGCAAAGAGGCGGCAGCTGGAGGGGCTGCCCAGGAGGGACCCTGCTTGCCACTTAGAAGCTGGGTGACTGTGGGCCACTCCCCTGAACTCTCTGTACTTCCCTTTCCTCTGCAAACAGAGGTCACCCCCGCCCCCACCTTGTGTGTTGTTGTGAAGATTTAAGCAAAGAACACAGGGGAAACTCTTGGAACGGGGTGTGGCGCCCCGAAGCCCATAAGAGAATTTCCTATTTTTCACGTAGTGCCTGACATGGCGGCTGTAATAGTGGAGGCCACACGCACCCCACCCCGCACACAGAGGTCACCTGGGGTCCTGCTGCATGGGCAGGGCTGGCCCTTGGGCTGGGCCCCTGTGCTGGGAGTCAGCCACCAACGGGCCGCATAAAGGGCTTTCCCGGGCCGGGTGGGAACTCCGGGTCCACCGCTGGCCATGGCGGGGCTCCCTGGGAAAAGGTGCTCTTTCTCCTCTGCCTCCTCCCCCAAGAGGCCTGACTACCAGCCTCTGTGGCCTGGACTGGGAAAGGCAAGGCGGCATTCTGTGTGCCTGTACATCCTGCACCGGGCCCGTGGGTGCTGGAGCCAGGCTGCTGCTGAGCGCCCACGGGCTCTGGTCTGCCTGCCTAGGGACCCCTGTGCCAACGGGCAGAGCCTGGAGCACCTCAAGCTGTCACTCCCCCTCCCCCTCCATCAGCAGCGTGTGAGGGCAGGAGACAATGTTCAGAGCACATCCGGCAGCTGCCTGCCGGGAATTTCTCCCAAGTCCAGAAGGCCAGGTCGAGGCTGTCCTCTACCCAACTGGGTCCCCAAAGTCCAGAACAGCCCGACACCCATGGCAGGTGCTCACCAGGTGCGGACTCCCTCGTCCTGACCCGAGGGAGGCCACAGCCAGGCCTCTGGGGATTCTGACTCCCATGACCTTTTTAGAATACTGCTGGTGGTCCACGAGGAAGGAGGTGAGACCCTGGCGTAACAGTCGCATGGCTAAAGCATCCCCGATCCAAAGAAACATTTACTGCTACCTACTATGTGTCAGTCGGTGCACACGGGTGATTAAATTATCCTCTTTGCTCCTCAGAGCAGCCCCAGGAGGTAGGTACCCTCCACCCCTCCTGTGGATGAGGAACGGAGGTTTAGGGAGGTGCCCTAGGTGGTGAGTTAGCAGAAGCCAGATTTGAAGCCAGAACCTCTGGACCCCAGAGCTTCCCGGCCTGTCTGTGACCACACAGAAGAGCTATGCCCTGCGGGCCCTGATTCACCCCGACACCTGCAGAGACGCTGGCTCCAGGCTGCCTGGATGGACCACTGCTGCTCTCTCCCGTCACCCCACTGTTACCCCTTCTTCACCCCGGACTCCCTCCTGGGGCCAGCCTGGGAGAATGATCATGAAGCCACAGGAGAGATGAGCTGAAAGCATGAGGTGGGTGAGTGGGTGGCGAGCGGGTGGCCTGGAGTTGCAGAAGTGGCCTTTGCCACAGGAGCCGGGTCCCACAGACCTGCTGCGAGTCCCATAACCCTCTGCCCACACAGGCCTCGATTTCCCTGGCTGCCATGCATGCACGCTGAAACGGCAGCTGCAACCCCACCACAGCTCCTCACATGGATGGGAAAGGGAAGGAGTAACTGGTGGTTTCCAGGGCAACACCTGCAAACACATCGTGGAAACACAAAGGGAGCCGGGAACAGGAAGCCGGGCCTGTTCCTGAGGGCAAGAGGAGGTGGCAGCTCCTGGAAGGAAACACACTTTGCTCTGTTCAGGGCCAAGTCCAGGGGGCTGAGGAGGAAGGGGGACCGACAGCGGCAGGAGGCCCTGCCCCCCCAGGAAGGGCAGTGCTCCCTGCAGAAGGCCTCCCGGTGCAGAGAAGCTGGGAGCTGGCTGGTCCTGGGCAGGCGAGGGAGCAGCATTCTAGGCCCTCGCTGTGGGGTGCCCCGCCCAGAGTGCCCGGAGGGGGCTAGATCTGCTTTCCCAGCCACCTCTCTGAGGAAAACCAGATTCCGGTGCCAGGGCAAGGGGAGGGCATGGCTGGCTCTTGGGCCCACGCCCCATGCCTCCTCCCCTCCCACCCGGCCAAACCAAGGATTCAAGGAAATAGAGAAATGCAGTCCCCGCACATGGCCACCCCTTAGAGTAACAGCTGGGGGCAGCATGGGATGAGGATTCAGATAAATGTGACCCATCACCAGGTCCCAACTCTAAGATGGAGGCGCTGCCACGCCCTGGTGGGGGAGCCTGGCTCAGACAGCCGGCTGAACGGCGGCGCCTCTCGGTCCCCCTCCCGCAAGCCCTCCTGAGTCCTGACCCTGGCTGCATCTCCCTACCCTGGCCACTCCCTGGCCCGCCCTGGCATCTGACCTCCAGACCCCAGGAGCTGAAATTCCTCTGGTGCCTGCAGCTGAGTCCCTGACCTCAGTCCGAGGTGGACTCACTCGGGAGAGGAGCTGGGCTGGTGAGGTGAGGACCTGGGGCTGCGTGGGCCAGGGCTCTGGCCCTCGAAGGAACACACAGCTCGGTGGGGCAGGGACCGCCCTGCTCCGTCAGCCTTGGGCAGGCTGCTCTCTGGGGGTGGACATGCGGCTCTCGCAGACTCCTGCCCTGCAGAGTCCTCTCTCCTGGTGTGTCCACACAGGTGTGTGATGCGGGTGCTCACTCCTTCCTTGTGGTGTGAGAACTGCTGCTGGGGCCAACCTCCCACAAGGTACAGTGGGACCTGCAGCCCACCAGACAAGCCGGCTGAGCATGACCTTTGCTCCTCACAGAACATTCTGGCAGGTGTGCTGATGTGCCAGGATGTATCTGAGGGGGTCAAGACCTAGATCGCCTCAGTGTCTTGGTTGATAGGGGGGCCGAGGGAGGCCTGAAGTCTACAGGTGGTCCCCTGAGTGACCTCGATGAGGGGGAAAATGTGATTTTCTGGGGCTGCCCTTATTGTGAAAAGAGGCTGGAGGCGCTGACTGGGAGCAATTCGTAACTCGGCCCAGTCCCAGGAATCACCAAGAGAAGTTCTGAAAATGCAGATTTGCAGGTCCAAAAGACTCCATCTTTGTCCAGTTTTCAGAACCAGGCCCTGGGCTTTGGGAAGAACCGTAATCAGCATGCCCTGGAGATTAATCTAGAAACTCCAAGGAAGCCCTGTGATCCTAAACACGCCTCTGTTCTCCAGATGCAGCAAGGAGGCAGAGCACCCAGCTGCGCAGCTGCCTGTCGTCTGCTTGGGAGGCCAGACTGCACCCACAAAGAGGGGGTGAGGGCCAGGCAGCCTGTCCTCCCTGAGCCCTCTCCCAAATCAGCTGCCTATGAGCCTGAGGTAAACACTGAATTCTTTTCAGAAATACCCCAAGTTCTGGTCTTGAAAAACCTGAATTCTGCTGCCTCTCAGGGTAGCAAGCCAGCAAGACCTCCAAGATCGGGCCATGCAATCAGGCCTTCATTTCCCACCTCGGATTCAGAGGCTGGCCCTCACAGAGGCTTGGCTAAAGACAAAGGCAGAGTTTTTCTAGGGGGTGTCTGGGGATCCTCTCAAATGTGAACCCCTGACTTTATTTATTGGACAGACATCTACTGAGCGCCCACCATGTGTCAGGCACAGGCACTAGGGACACAGCAATGAATGAAATAGACAAAAATCCCCGCCTTCCTGCAGCTGATTTTCAGTTTGGGGAGACACACAGATGAGAAAAATAGAAAAGATTTCAAGCAGAATGGTCAGGGAAGGCCTTATCACCTCAGTAAGGTGACATTTAGGCAGAGACCGGAAGAAGGCAAAGTGGGCCACATGGATAATTGAGGAAAGTGCATTTCAACAAAGGGCAAATGCAACACTCCTGGGGCAGACGCATGCCGGGTGTGGTCTGGGACAGTGAGGAGCCAGTGTGGCTGGGGTAGAGGGCACGAGAGGGACAGGGCAGATGACACTGGGTATCTGAGATCAGGGTCCAGTGAGAGAGGAGGGCACTGAAGGCTTGGGGCAGAGGTGTGGCCTGAAATGACCTCTTTATGGAAAGCCGATGTGGTCCAGTGTGTAAAGGATGACCATCTAAGGGTCACGTGAGGCCTCAGAGTACCCCATCCCAGCAAACAAGCAATGCACGAGCACAACAGCCTGTCCGCACTGCAAGGGTTGGAGAGTCAGAACATGTCCATTCCATAACAGTGGTGGTTGCTTTTTCTACTGCAAAAGAAAGACCAAGTGCCCTGGGCATTTAAGGGCTGTCACCCGGGGTTCCCAAGTCTCCAGCCGGCCTCCTGTCTGGCACACAGGCTGTGACTGGTCGCAGCTTTAATCCATGGTCTTAGGATGTGTCCCTAAGCATGCTGGTGACATAATGCTGACACTTCGCACCAGCTCTCGCCTCTGCCCCCAGGTCTCCGCCCTGCAAACCTAGGCTTGGTCCCACAGAACTCAGCACCCCCAGAACTCACCGGGCATGGAAAAGGGGGACAGGAAGCCAGCTTCAACTGGCTCTGGCTCCGGGGCAGGTGGCTGTGGGGCGGGCTGTTGCTCCTGCTCCTGCTGAGGGTCTTCAGGATTTTCCACGGGAACATTCCCATTCTCAATGTTTTCGTGTTTCCCGTTTTGAAGTGGCTTGCTGGTCACACCATTCGCCGAGTTGATCAGTCTCTGTCGCTGTGTGGACAGGAGGCAAAACAAAACACGTGACCAGGGGTCACACGCTGCGCTGTTCCACACAGCTCTTTAAGGTTTCTAGAACACCACTGCTGGAGATGGCACTGCCTGAGGAATGGCACAAGGACCCTGGACTCCACGTAAGTTTGCTCATTTCCATCTGCAACAACACCAGAGCCTTTGGGGATTGATCAGAGCCCTGGACCACCCCTTCTTAGTGCCAATCTGACACCTCAGGCCATGACACTGGTGACAGCGATCATTCCAGGTCCCCTACGGGATGTTAATAAGCCACCTGAGGACAGCCACAGGAAAGGCTGCACGATTACTTTTTTCTTTGTAGCTATATCATGCATAAAATGTTAATGATGCACTTATAAAATTAATGTTTTACACCAAGATGTAGAACATTTCTAGCCCTTCAGAAAACCCAGGCATTTCCCTGGCTCATGTACCCCTCTCTAGAGGTCTGCAATTCTACTTTTAGAGCCATCAATTAGTTTTTCCTGAACTTGCACATCCTATAAATGGGTTTAAATGGTATATATTATTATATGTCTGGCTTTCCTTATTTAATTGAAAATCCACGTATTCATCCACATAGCTGCATATAGTAGTTTTATTTTTCGTGGCTCTATAGTATTCTCTTGTGTGAACAACCCACAATGTACCCTTTGCCTGTTGACAGGCATTTGTCTTATTTCCTCTTTTTGGTTATTATGAAGAATGCAGCTATCTACATTCATGCACATGTCTTTTTATGGATCAATGCACTCATTTCTCTTGGGTGTTTGTCTAGGAGTGAAACTGCTAGGTCATATTGAAGCATTTTATAGTCACAACAGCAATGGATTAGAATTTCAGTTGCTTTGCATCCTGGTCAACACCTGATATTGTTAGTCCTTTTAATTATAGCCATTCTGGTGGACACATTGTGGTATCTTAGCCCGGTTTTTAATTTGCATTTCCTTGTCAACTCATGTTGATGATATTGGGTCACTGTCCATTTGAATAGCCTCTGCTGTCCTTATCTTTCACCATCGTGTACTCTGAACCAGTTGGTTCCCTTCCCTTCCCTTCCCCATCTCACTGACAAGGCTTATTTCTTTCCACCCAAGCAGAAGCTGATCTTCCTCCCCAAGTCTGTGGGTTTCTACTAAGCTGGGAAAGAAAGAACTGCAATCTAAGATATCAACAGGTTTCTTCTCTCCTGAGAACGTTTGCCTTTGCATAGCTCATTTTTACCTAGTGCTCATTAAAAATATTTATGGATCAGCTTTAGGCCTGTGGGTAATAATTGTCATACAGTGGACACATAAATCCTTTCCAATTACTTCAACAGGAGACCGAGAATCAGCAAACCTATCCCCCAGGCTCCAACAATCCTCCACAAGTGCACGCCAACACCCGTCCTTGTGGTGATTGGACGTAAAAACAAAAAAGTCATTCTTAGAATGAAAGCCTTGTTATTTCTCTAAAAGAAAGAGGAATTGACCATTTAACTATGTAATTGTTTTCACGTCAGTTTGAGGCAGGGACTCCTAAATCATGAAGGTTGTGAGGGGTGGGGGTAGGTAGAAATTTCAAAATTTTCCCTCACAAGTTTGTCTCTGGCATACTTTAGCACACCATAAAAGGACAAAGTGGTCTATGCCTGAGACTCTGTGGTGTAATATTTTGCCACCCAAGGAGGGTTAAATAACAGATCATCCTTGTAGTAAAAAGAAACAAGCAAAGTACCTGTATAAGGAAAGAATCACAAGGGGTGGGACAGACATGACTCAACTGCAGCAGGAATGATAGCAATGCAAGGACCTCATAACGCTAGCTTAATAGGAATCCACAGAAAACTGTACCTGGAAATAATATCTTCAGCTATGTGAGGCTATATTAAAAGAGGCATAGATTACAACACATAGGAGGTGATGAATCCACATGCCATGAGAGACAAACCAGGTTTTCATAGGAAAAGAACCAGATGGTGAGCACTGGAACCCTGTCACATCAGGGACTGTGGGAAGTTCCAAGGATGTTTAGATTCAAGGAGAAACTCTGAAGCAAGGGGCAACTGCTGCCTGATAGTTCAAGGACTACAACATGAAAGAGGCAATAAGAAACAACTTGATAAGCAAGAGTTGGATATCATGGAGGAAAGAAAGATATAGACAAAAGGGGCCTGGGGAGATAGCCTAGACCAAGCCCTAAGAATCTGTGCAGCCCCACGCCCTTCATAGGCCAGCCTCAGATTTGGGTTGGAATTCTTGTTCTCCCATCATATTGGTTATGTGGCTTTGGGCAAATTTCCTCACCTCTGATAAATGGAAAATGCCATCATGTGACTCAGCAGATCATTAAGAGGATTAATGCTATTACATGGGCAAACATCCAGCACCCTCCTGGCACGCAGCAGGTGCTCGGGAAATTACATCTGTTTCACCAGCTCAAAGTGACAGGCATCCAGGTGCGAGATGAGAGGGTGGTGGGGAGGGAGGCGGTGGGACCAGATGGGACAGGCGCACAGGGAGGGCACGTGAGACTCTGGGCCCCTTGGCAACTCATCTCAGTGGCTCCAGGTGAGGACAGCCAAACTAGGTCAGGTGTAGACTTAGAAAGAAAAGCAAAGTCCCCTTTCAACACCCCTTATCCCCACCCCGAACCCTCCCTCGGGTACTCCATCCTCTTTGAAGAGGAACAAATAAGGGCATCTACCCCCTAGGCATTTCTTCCATGGATTAATTTCAGCTTTGCAAACGTTTCTGTAACATCCTGGAATCAAAATGACTGCAGAGGAAATGAGACCAAAGGATCTTAAGAAACCACCTTGAAACTGGGCATGTTGTGGCTTTTTAGTCTCCCCATTTCCATTCCACAATGAATTTCCCCAAAGACACTGCGTACTCTCCAGGCATAGCTCGCTGTTGCGTGTGAGTGAAATTTTCAGAGCCGGAGCATCCTGCCCAACACCCTCGGTTAGAGAACCTGAACCCCAGGAAAATTAGGGCATTAATAGCCAATGGGAGGGTCATGTTCAAAATCCCTTCTCCTCAGTCTAGCCTCTGTGGCTCCCCATGCTGCCTTCAAGGGCAGGTGGACGCTAGTGGTGAAAGGATATTGGGGGCCTGAAAACCAGTAATTTACCAGCTCATCCAAATGAGCTCATTATTTTCCTGACATTGTACGCCGTGAAACATATACTATAAACCACACCTCACCACCACCCCAAGCTCCCAGAAGGTACAATTATCACCCTCATGAAAAATAGGCAACATTCAGTAAAGTTCCATGGATTTACCAATGAATTTTACCAACTTGAACCAGGATGACTGAGAATGTTTCAAAGCTTACAGTGTTTCCCTTTGTTAATGCGCCCTGACAGCAAGGGCCCCGTTACATATGAAATCAAAGGAGAAATGTTCAAACACAGAAACTTCCAGCACTGTGCTGCATCATCCCTGCACACGGTCGCTGTGCCAACTACTGTTCCTAGCTGGTGAGTTCTGAGTCCTCCGGTGACTAAGAAACCAAGGGGAAGGACACAAAATCCCTCCACGCTCCTGTACAGCAAAGACTAGAAAACTTGGTGAACAATAAGCACGTTGACTTGGCTAAACTTTTTGTACAGTGAATGATATTCAAGCCTTCTGAACTTTCTGTTCAAAGGAGAAAGTCACTTGGCACAAAATCTAGGCAGAGACAAGAGTACAGAGTGAAGAAGAATCCCCCAAGGCCGCTGCCATCCACCTGCATCTCCACCTCCTCCTTGAGCTGTTATCCACAGAGAGCGTGTGCTCATCTGCTCTACAGAACATTCTAAAGAAGCAACCCATACTTCAGACTGGCCTTTCTCCAATCAGTTCACCTCTAACTCCTGATATAGTACTTAGGGGGCAGGACAGGTGAGTCTTTGCCGCCTGCTTTCTAAGTGTGCACCGATAAATGCCCCCCTGGCAGAGGTTGGCCTGGAAGAGGCCGACAAGCCAGTCTCCTCCGCGGCCAGGACCATCGAAGCCCACGTGTGCTCCCCGGGCTTGGAGCAGACGTACCTCATTGATGATGATCCTGCTGGCCATCCGCAGTCGAGTCCTGGGCCCAAACTTGTTGGTGATCATTATGCGCAAGCCCGCCTCGGGGAAGTTGAACTTGGGTGGGCTGGAGCTCATGACCTCGTCCACCATCACCACTGGATTTTTGCTGTATTGCGGCTCCTCCTTCACTATATTGAGCACAGGGCTGCGGTTAGTGCTGAGGTCCCCCTGGGGATGACACCCCTGTCCCAGGGGGACAGACTTCCCCAGACTGCGGTCCTACAGCCATTGGGGGCCTGGCTTTAGCACCCCCTTCCCTGCCCCCGTTAGCCAAGGTCATCGGTTCTGAAATGCCCGCTGACTAGGAGCACTTCAGAGTCCCGGGGTCCCGCAGTGACAGGGCCACTCACGGGCACACTCTCCCCACCTAGCCCCTCTGAAGTTGACATCACCCCCACTGTCTCGGGCCCCGTCTTGGCTAACAGTAAGGGTTGTTCAGTTCCTCCTCTGAGCCCCACTGGGCTGCCCACCTACAAGAGTCAGGGTCCCTGCCACCCTTCCCCGTGACAGGGAGAGGACTTTTCGCTGCCCCTGTTTACAGAGGCTCAGACGACACTTTAAAACTGGCAACAGCTGCAGAATGGAAAATGCCAGAATGTACCAGAGAACCCTAGTTCTAAACTCCCCACAAGGCCAGCTGCCCTTCAAGCAACCATCTCCACCCTGCCTCTAGCTTTGACCTCCATGAGGCAGGCCATGAAGGCAAAGAGGAACTCACAGGCTTTGAAGTGGCAGCGGAGGCCATGCCGTGCCCAGGCCCGTGGCCTGGTGGGGCAAGAGCGTCCAGCACAGCCGCTGCTCCCTCTGACCCTTTGTGTCCCCTCATGAGGCTGAAAATAAGTCCCCCCAGTGCCCAGATTCCTCCTTGTCTCTTCACAGACATGCTCAGGGCTGGCCATGGGGATTCGACATTCAACTTCCAGAGCCCTGGAAGGGTCTACTACAGAGCCACTGGGGCACACAGGAGCAGGCAGCTGGGTGGGGCTGTCCGAGCAGATGTGGCCGTGCCTCTGCACAGGTCACCAGCTCTGTGAGCGCCCTTGGTGGCTCCAGGGTAACCGAGAGCTGCCCGGAGGGCACACGTTGCAAGAGTTAGTGGTCAGACACGACGCATGCATACCAGACACGCCCCCTCCCACAGGGCTGCAAGGCTCAGCAGACAGGAGGCGGGTGGGTTAGACAGCGCGGGCCATGCATTTTTCGGAACACTCACCTCTGACGAGGCGTGCACTGGGCTCGTGAATTCCTTTTTTTAATGCATGTGTGTTATTGCCTGGATGAGAGCGGATTACTTACAATTTAGAAGAGGAGGAGAGTTACGGAGAGAAAGGCCGAGAGAGATCCAGAGGTGGTTAGCGTGCGGCGGATGCTGAGAGTGTGGGGCGGCATTCTGGATGGCGGCCAGGATGCCAGGGGTTACTGAAGGAGGTGTTAGTAGAGGGACTGCTGGGGCTCTGGCCTTCGGGAAGGCCCCTCTTTCTGGCCAAATTCCACGGCTCTGTCCCACTGTGAGGAGCAGGCGTCCCCATGCCACGCTCCTCCCTCCGCACACGCCGAGCCCCTTCCTACTCTGGGGCCTCCACTTCAGAGCGAGGTGAGAACCGGCAACGCACGTGTAGAAGCAGCCCTGGGGGAGCGACTGGGCTCGCTGTGGAGTGGCAGCTTCTGAAGGGAGAGCCTGTCCCGGGCCGCCCAGCGGGTGACAGCACCCAGTGGAACGTCCGGGTCGGGGTGGCCCAGAAGGCAACTCGACCGCAGTTAACTTCCCATTACCTCAGCCCAAGGCCAGGTATTGCCACCCCTCCTGTGGCTCTAAGCCAAAGTTGGGGCTGGGCCAGGGCAGCTGGGAAAGGCCCCATCGTGAACCCATCTGCGGTCGGGTGGGATCCAGGCCACCTGACAGCCGGCAGGAGCGGCTGGGCCCCGGCAGGGGCAGCGAGCAGGGTAGCCGCCAGCCTCAGTCCTGGGGACCTTTTTGGGTGTAGTTTGATGTGAAAAATCTATGCAAGTTTTAGGGGAAAAACCAGACTATTCAACATGGAATAAAGCTGCAGGATGCGATGCTTCCTCCCCCCTGAAAAAGAGAAAGCTGGGCTGAGCTGACATGGTGAGCTGACTGTGTGACCGCTAAGAACACTTCAGTTCTCAACAGGCCAAGAGTCCCTGCCTGCCAGGAGGCTGGCTATAAAAATCTCCATTTTATAGGGAAACACCGAAACAGCCGCCTTCGACGTCCTCGGGTGGCTGACCATGACCTCCTGGAGGCCGAGGGCTGACCGTGTGAAGAGGAACTCGGGTCAGAGGTGTCCACAGGCCGCAGCTCTGGGCCCCTCACCCCTCCAGTTCCTGGGGTCCCGGCTGGCACCCCACGCAGGGCCTCTGTCCCCTTTATTCAAATTTATTCACCCCAATAAAAGCTGGAGGGATACCTATCTTTTCTCCTTTCCATATGCTTGGGGGGCAGTCCCACAACTAATTTTCTAGAAACTGTCCTGGACTTAGCAATTTGAGGGGAAAGAATGAACTTGTGGGGAGTCTACTTCCCACACAGAAGTGAGGGGGCAGTGCTGTGAGCACCCCAACCCGAACAGGCCCTCAGGGCAGCTGCTGCAGGGGTGCCAGGCTTCCTGCTAAGGAAAGCGGCGGAGGCCCCATCATGATGCACAGGAGGACGCCTCTCAGAGCACCGGGAATAGGTGTCCCCGGTCACCACCCGTGCCTTTGGGCTTCCCGGGTGGCACCTGAGGAAGTGTACGTTCTGCTGACCCAAATGACCTCCCTCTGGACTCTCTCCTCTCTGCCTGCAGGTCCAGAGGCCCTCAGGAGCACTAACCCCATGCAGGAAACTGGATAGGAATCAGCCTCTGTCCTGAGAGACTGTGTGTGGGGACTGAGGCAGAGGCCAAGGAGCCACTGTGTCTGTGGAGCTAAAACCCCAAACAGCAGCCACATGGTTCCCTCCCTTCTGAGGAGGTTGTCCTGGAAACTGGCTCTCCCCTGGGGCAGCCTGCTCGGTGTTTCTGCAACAGGACATAGCCTGCACTCTGCAGGCTCCTTTCTCCATCCCTCGTGGGCATGCCAGGCTGAGACCACACTGGACCTGCACCCCCGCCCCAGTAGGCCTCTTCCTGGCTCCTAGAGGGAGTCATCGCTCACTCCAGCACCTGGGACAGGTGCCCGGCTCAGGGTTTACCTGAGAAAGGACAGGGCATATATGCTCAAATTGCATGTGGGAGGAAGCCCCCACTCAGCGTTGAAGATTGGGCCAGGGCCAAGAGGACGGATTTCAGCTCCCACGTGTCCAGACACAGGCAAACAGGCCCCTCTGCACTACATGGTCCCAGCAGGCGCTTAACAAGGGGATTAAAGCTACCTGGAAGGGGACATGACTTCTTTGGGGTCACAGGGAAAGAGGGAGAAAGACCCTCAGGTGGCCAGTCCATGTTCTCAGCTGGTCAGGAAGCTTTACTCGCGCCTGAGGGGGACTGGAGTCCTGCTTCTCCAAATCTCCATTATTCAGGCTTTAACACGGGTCTCGAGTGGGGAAAGCGTGACCTCTCCCTTCCTGCCAGCTGCCCCCAGAGGACAGCACCTGGCAACTGGCTGGATCACGGAGACTCGAGAGCAACATCTCCAGCAGGCCTACATGACGCAGGAACTCGACAGAAATGACATTTCTGGGTGTCAGAAATGGCTCTGGACACCCACGACCCCCAGACAAGGGGCCACAGAGAAGCTGCGGACACCAAGACTGTGGTCCCGGGGGCAAGGCTTCTTGGGGGCTGGTCTGGGAATTCTCGCTCAGCAACGTGGCTGCCTTCTTAGCCCGACTGCCCCTCTGGGCAATGAGCCAGACATCCCTGCAGAACAGAGTTCTCCAGAACCGGGCTGGCACTTGCAAAACCATAGGGAGGCGCGAGCCTGCTCTGCCACCCTGCCTTCTCCACTGCCAGCCACTGCCTCCTCCACCCGGGTCAGGGACGGAGCTCACTGCATTTCAGAAAAGCCAGGCAGGCCTGGAGCCTTCCTCAGGAGCCCCGGGAAACCCCCGGGGACGGGACTGTGGCCTCTTCCTTCAGTCTTCTCCCAGATAAGCAAAGGCCAATCTGGGCAGCATCTCCGACACGCCTTCTCCCTTCTCATTTAAGGTCCTGCGACCAAAGGGAGGAGAGTGACCATTAAGGGGGAGAGTGACTGAGTGAGTGAGAGTGTGTGTGTGAGTGTGTGTGTGCGTGTGACGGGCGGTGAGTGGCGTCCGGACGTGGCTGGACCCGCTCCTGTCTGCTCAGCCTTACCTTGCCCCAGCAGTGGCAGGGAGGGGTCGTCAGAGCCACTGTCACAGTAGTCATTACCGTCCTCCAGTTCACTGTTCACCGTGTTGCCGTTGGCGATGGTCTTCTGTTTGAGTGTGAAAAAGGCCTGCATCTTCACGTTGTACCTGGAGGTCAGGTAAGGCAGGAGGTCAGACCTGCGAGGAGTGGGCGGCACCCACACCCGCACCTGGTGCACCCACGGCCAGCACAGCCCTGGGAGTGTCCGGAGGGGGCGGAGGTGGTCAGCTGGCCGAGCTCCTCACAGGAACCTCAGAACAATGAGTGGTCAGAGGGGCCTGATGCTACTGAGCTCTCAGCCGCTTCCTGGGCACCGAGGGGCCGTCAGCCCGAGACAAGCCTGAAGCCCACTCGCCCACGTCACAAGCCTGTCCCAGAAACAGTCGCTTGGGCCGGCTTCAGGGACAGGCTCGAAGCGGGGCCTACCAGGCCAGTCCTGTCTCCACGGCCGAGAGTTGCCTGGGGGGCTGCCTCCCTTATCTCCCATACACCCCTATCTCCCACGCACCCCTGTCTCCCACCAGGAGGAACCTCACTCCCTGGGGAGGCCCTCAGGCTGGCTGCCTCTCAGAACTGCGCTCCGGCACTCCGAGGAGAGCGAGTGAAGACAAGTCTCTTGCTGTTTGACAGTTTATCTCCCATTTTAACAAAACATGATGAATGTTTGAGAGCAATGTGGGGATTCGTTGTCTCATGAAACCGGGGTTGTTCTTCTCTGGAGTTGTCTGTGGAGGTGTGAGGAGGGAGAGGGTACCTGAATGCAGCTCAGCTCAGGGGTTGTTCTGTCTTTTCCTGTTAATTGTGGAACTATATATAACACACAATTGCTCTCTCAACTAGTTTCCACTGGGAAGCGCACAGTTCGGCAGCACGCACTGCTTCCGCAGCGCGAGGGGCCACCGCCATCAGCTACCTCCACGACGTCTTCAGTTGTCCCACAGGGAGCTCTGTGGCTGCTAATCAATCAATCGATGAATCGTTCCTACTCCCTCCCCGGAGCCCGGGGTAACCTCTCCTTGACTTTCAGTCTCTGTACTGGCTCCCTTGGGTCCCGCCTTTTGGCAGAATCACATCTGGCCTGTGACTGGCTCCTTTTTTTATATGCTCAAGCTCCATCCGTGTTGGGCATGCCAGGACTTCCTTCCTCTTCATGGCTGAATATTGTACCTCCGGGGTGGCTGTGAGATGATCTGACCTGAGCAGTTTCTGCAGGTCGGACCCAGAGTCTGCAGCCACAGTACTCTGAATGGCGCCCCCTGCAGTTGTGCAAGACATCCGTGAGGCATTTTATGAAGCCTGGAGCAGAAGGGAAGCTGCCTGGCTTTTTGAAGAGTGGCACTGAGTTATCAGGAGATTTATGGAGACAGCAAAAGAGTGGCCGCCCTGGAGCATGGAGCAGGAGCAGGGAGCAGAGCTGGGGAGGGGACTCAGCCTCCTCCTCCAGCCACCAGTCACCCAGCAGGGCTCCCCAAGCTGGGGCCTTGGAAAGCACCCCAGAACAGGGTCTGAACATCTCTCCCTGACGCCGGCTGCCCCCCAGCGGGCATCCACCAGAGGACTGGGCCTGGCCAGAGAACGCTCAACAAAAGGCTAGAAGGACATGGGACAAGGGGTCAGAGAGCCCGAAGGAGACAAGAAAGGGCACTTACTTCATGATGAGGATATAAAACACATACAGGATGATGAGCACCAGGCCTTCCCACCTCAAAGAGAGAAAGGAGGGCGATGAGAACCAGGGAGCCAGGGCACTGCAGGCTGGGTGTGACCAGCCAGGCGTGGGGACCCAAGTAAACAGGGTGAGCCCACCCAGCCCACGACCGCCCTGAGAGCGGAAGCCCCCGTGGTAACAGACAGGGAGTGGCTCCGTAGGGCTCAGGAGGCGTTTCCCCAGCCATCCAGAAAAAGGAGGGGCCAGGCCCCCCCACATCCCAGGACTCACAGGGCGGGGTAGCCTGGAGTCAGACAAACTTTATCCTGAGCCCCTGTGATCACTGCAGATTCTGGTCAGGGGCCAGAGAAGCAGGGACACAGGCTTTCTGGGCCAAACACTGGGGCAGGGTAGGGCAGAGGGTCTTTCTGGAATGAACAATCACTACCATCTTGCAGATGTACCACCTAACTCCACAGGGTATGGGGATTTTTATTGCTCTGACCACAAGCCTGAGGAGGCACAGAACTTTAGTTTGTTCACCTGATAAATATGTACTAAAGGGCCTGCTATGTGCCACCCTGGCCTATAGGGTTTTCTGGAGGTTCTTCCTTTGCTGACACAGAACTCGCAGACTAGAGTGCACAGGGACTTGTGATAACCTGAGACCCTTCCCCACCAATTTTACCTAAAGTTGAGGAAAATGAGACACAAGAGTGGAGAGGTTTACCAGCCCAGGGTCGGGGCCCCCGTGGTACCAGAACCAGGTCTCTCTGGGACGGTGGCACGCACCCATTTATGTCAGCCGTCCTGAATAGAGTCTCGCAAATTACCACATACAGGATGCAGAGCCTCAGTCACGGCCTCGAGGAGAAAAGCTATGGCTGATGAATGCCACATGTATTCACAGCGTGTAAGATAAAGTAGAAATAACAACCTTTACTTTAGAAGTTTGTATTTAATGTTTCTTAAGGAATCATCTCCTACTTCAATGTCATAAAGATGAGTCCCTATATTTTTTTCTAAATTATTTTGAAATTTTTGCTTTTTACAGTGAGGTCTTTAATCAGCTGTAATTTACTCTTCTATATGGTGTGAGGGAGGGGTCTGAGGTTATTTTGTTCTATGTGGATTCCTAATTGTCCCAGCAGTATCTGAGACCCCCTTCTCAAACTCACTGTTTTTACATGACACCTGTCATATCTCCCAGCCCAGAAATGGGCCCATGACTGGGTCCTCGGTTCCATCATCCCTACTGGCCTTGGTTTATCCCTGTGCAAAATAACACACTGTTGCCTTCTTTTCACTTGATAATATATCTTGGTATCTGGCAGGGTAGGAATATTAAGGGGTAGGAATTTTAGTGTCAAATATTAATAGTTGGCACTAAAAGTATAAATAGAAGCCCAATTGCTTAGAATAATACCCCTTTTACTTCACAAATCCATATGCTCATGTTTGTAAAAATAAAGAAGGTTTAATGAACCCAACAAACAAGGATGCTAACAGAAAAGGATCCACAAGAAAAACTTACCACACAATCTCTTCATCATATATGAACTGGAAGGCAAAAGGACACAGGAGGGGAGACATATTTATTACAAAACAAAAACAAACACAGACCCCTAATCACCCAGGGCTGGCTCACATCAGCTTGTTATGTGTTTAATAGAAAACTGCACGCCTTTCTCTATTCCTGGGGTTCCTTTTTTTAAAAAAAGATTTATTTATTTATGAATACAAGAGCTGGGGTACAGGCCAGAAGTGGTGGGGTGAGAGGATTCACCAGAGACAAAGTGGGGAGCAGAACAGGCAGGCTGACCAAAATACACTGCTGAGGGGAGCAGCAGGCGAGTCAAGAGAGGTCTGCTGCACCATGTGGGTTTCTCCCTGACTGGCCGGGGATCTAACTCATGCTGCAGAGGCTGCAGACAGCTTCACAGTGCGGTGCTTAACCCCTTGCACCACCAGGGAGGCCCCATGCCTGGGGTTCTCGAAAGGTAGGTCAGCAGATTCTCAACATATGGCCCCAGCATAGTGTGGGCTCCCAAGAGAAATGTCTAGGGCTTTGTTATAGTGGTCGTCACTGCTGGGGGCCTGTCCTCATTCATGCAACAGAGTTGCTAAAACCAAAAAACTTATAAAGATATATGTGTGGACCTTCCTACATATCTATCAATTACCTCTCTCTCTATCATCTATCTACCTTCCTTTCTGTCTTCTGTTTATCCATCATGTCTATTTGTGTGTCTGTGTGTGATGGGTGGGGCAGGTGTATCATTTTCTTAAAATAAAGAATAACCCCTTTGGAAGGACCCACTTGTACCATCTGAATGGAGATCGGGCTGACAGTGGGGATGTACGGTTTCCTAAGAGGGCACTGACATTGTCTAAAGGCCCCACCAGGATCCTCCCCAGGAGACATGGGTGAATGGTGCCTCCATGGTCTACAAGATGACACCTGAGACCATCCCAGCCTGGCCTAGTGTGGACAGGAAGTTGGAAGGGCCGCATCCACCTATCTGATAACAGAGACACGAGGGTCCCTACGTGTGATGTCAGGAGAGGAGGGGTCAGGGCTATTGTCTGGACTTGGCCCCAGTGTACCCCCTCTTCTGCTTGTCACAACATGTGACACACACAGGATCTGCTTTGGGAAGCTACTTCCCAGAAGGCCATCCTACCAGGCATGCTGTCACGTGCCCCAACAGAGGGGAACCCAGAACCAACATCCGGGGAACTCGAGGGACACTCAGGGGCTCTGTAGAAACATAGGGTTTCTACAACCCTATGGAGGCTGCTGGTGTTGAAAGGCCTTGAGCCTGGAACACGTGGAGTAACTCCACTGGAGAAGCTTTCCACTCTTGGCACCAGTCTTAATGTCCTCATAAATATTCAGGAAAGCCGGGGGAGAAAAAGACATGAGCCTACAGCTTAACTCCATTGTACAGATCAATATACTTTTATGTAGTTTTAATAAATACTTAATTTTCTAGGGAGACAACTGTCATGCAAATGGAGAGACGATAATATTGGGCTCTGTTTCGAAGGAGTCGTTCATAGTTCTGGGAAATCGTCATCCATGTTGTTGGCACCACTCACAGGACTGAGTGGAGGAGCCAACCCAGCCCTCCCACCCACGTGCACTGACAGCTGTCAGGCTTGGGGGGGTTCCTTTGGGGGTATCCGTGACTGTATTAGGTGTTCTAATCTATGTTTACATTTGGGAAGATGTGTTCCTTTATTATAAATGGCTGTTATTTGTCCTTTATTGCAGAGTTTGAGCACATTCATTTAATTTTTTAAATTACGTACAAGTAGGGGCCTCCCTGGTGGCACAAGGGGTTAAGACACAACCTATGAAGCTGTCCACAGCCACTGCAGCACGAGTTCGATCCCCAGTCAGGGAGCTACCCACACAGTGCAGCAGACCTCTCCTGACTCCCCGCTGCACCCCATCAGCAGTGGATTTCGTAGATCCACCTGTTCTGCTCCCCACTCTGACTCTTGTGAATCCTCTCAGCCCCCACACCTCTGGCCTGTACCCCAATTCTTGTATGCATAAATAAATAACTCCTAAAGAAATAAAAAAATAAATTGTATACAAGTAAATTGTTTGAGCTCCAGCTCATTTTCAGGGGGGTTGTGGCAGGAGGTGGCCCCAGTGATCCACCACTCGACACTCATGTCCCTTTGAGTGTCCTGGATCTCAAACCTTGCTCTAACAAACAGGATGTGGCCAATGGGACGGCTGTGGCTCCCCAGAGCAGCCTGCAGAGGCTTCCAGCCCGGTGCCTTCTCGCCCTTGCTCTTTGGGAAGCAGCAGCCAGCACGAGAGCCGCGCTATGGGACAGCGCGCCAGTGCCACGCCAGCAAGCCTGTAGGTGAGTGTGCCCGCCCGGGGCAGCCGGGAGATGCCCACAGCCAGCCCACGCCTGTGAGCACCTGGGGCCGGAGGACTCAGCTAACCCCCGGCCCCAGCTTCTGATCCCCTAAAAATGGGAGCCACCCACATGTGTTGTTTGGAGAGGTCATTTGGGGAACCTGGTTACACGCAGCAGAAAACGGAGACCAGGGACATGTGGGGCATGTATTTTGAGGTCGAGGCCTGTCACTCTTGGACACACACCATTCTCTAAAATCTGGGCACCCCACATGCACCTGCCCCCTTGCAGATGACCTTCTCTCACGCGGGGGGCCTCTAACACTCCTTTGGGTGGAAACCACGCCCCGGAGGACAGCACGATCCTTGGCAGTAAGTAGCGGGGTCATATGCGTCACCGTCACTGTCACAGGCCAGGGAGGCACCCAGGCATCAGGGATCCCCGCCTTTGCTTCTCTCCGTCCTCCACTCTGCCCCTGCTCCCCGCTGGCCTCTCTTTCCTGCTCACGGCTGTGAAACCGGGAATTCTTCCCAAGTCCAGGGCTTGAGTTTTAACTGCTTTTGCTTTCTCAAGGCCTTTCTGCCTTTTCAGTGGTCTCTGGAGTCACCCGACCACCACACTGCCGGGTGTGAGGTTGGGGGGTGGGGCGGCATGGGGGTGGGGCTGGACTGGGGTGCTGGGGACAGGGCGGCGGGAGGGCACTCACGGCAATGAGCACGATGACGGACAGGGTGTAGTACACGGAGTCCCGGCACACGGCCCACCACGTCAGACGGACCACCTGCCAAGGAAAGGGCACCAGCTGCTGTGAGCTGGGGAGACTGGGGGACACAGCTACTGGGGGATCCCACTGCCCCAGACACCAGCAGGTATAGGGACACGCCCATGGGGCACCTCCTAACTGTGCCGCCAGAACCAAACCCTGCCTGGCTACTCAAGACCACCCTTTGCCTGCGCTGCATCTGGAGAACGAAGCAAACCATGGAATGTTCTTAAGCAATGGCAAAGCTGCCTCTGCCCCTCCAAGGTAACAACATCGTGTGCTGTGAGCAGAAGCCCAGGGCCAAGGCTGAGCCAGAGGTGCTTGCTCCCCCCGTCCCCACCCTCATGCTGGAATCTTCTGGCAGTAACTGGCTGCCCACCTTTATCTCCCTTGGTCCGGAAGGGCTACCCATGAGCCTGACTCTCTGAGGTCAAGTCAAATATCCCATGGGCCTGAGGACCAGGGGAATGCTAATGGGGTACCGACAGGAGGCCAGCTTCATGCTCCTGCGGAGAGGCCAAAGGCGGGTCCCAAAGACCCCTGGGATCTAGTGCAAGGTCAGGGTTGCAACAAGCGCCTCTCAAATATTTACTTTGTCAAACGAACTCTCACCCTTGGACTGGCCCAGAGAGTTGGGGCTCCTCCTGCTGTCAGAGCCCCACACGGCTGGAGAGGGCAGGAAGGCCAGACGTGGCTGTGATACGCAAGGGAACAGGGGCAGAGGGGAGACCCTCCTTCAAAGTGACGGTCTCCTAGGCTGGGCCTTGGGCTCCCGGCCTCTATCCCAGCGAGAGAGAAACCACTGACCTGCCCGGCGAATAAGCCACAAACTCCGATTATACACAGGATGTTGAAGACAGCGGAGCCCACGATGGTGCCAACCCCGACGTCCCCGTGGGTGATGAACACGCCTGCAAAGCAGCAGACGTGAGCCCTCATCTGCCAGGACCGGATGCCCACTCCTCAGACCCAGGTAGCTGTGAGCGGAGCCCCTTCCCCCCCGCAGCCAGAGAACAGAACTCCTGCCCTGGGGTGAGAACCAGAGAGGGGGAGGCGTCTGCAGGGACCACACCCCAGTCCCCTAGTGGGGGGAACCACGTCTGATCACGCGCCTGCTGCAAGATCTACCCACTGGAGGGATCCACTCCATGTTCTTTAGTATAGTCAGGGGACTGTGCAACATCGTCACACTCTAGAACACCCTCACCACCCCCAGAAGAAACCCCACAACCAGGAGCACCCCACTCCACGGTGCCCCTCAAACCACTCATTTACAGTGTCTTCTCGCCCATTTCAGAGCTGAGAAGACGGAGGCTCGGCGCTGACCAAGGCCCTCCCTGCTCCGGGGGCCCGGCTCCAGGCTCCTCGGCCCCCGTCTGTGCTGGTGGGATTTCTTACCGATGATGGAGGCGAACAGCTCGGGGGTGGAGCTCCCTGCGGCCATGAAGGTGGCTCCTGCCACGTCCTCGCTCAGATGGAGTTTCTGAAACACATGTGACCACAGGCCTCAGGCTGGGACGCGTGGTCGGTGAACACGCCACGGGGCCCTGCACGCAGGGGAGTCAGCCTCTCTCCTGGCGGCCTCCCCTCCCGGCCCAGGTCCCCTGAGCACACGCTCCTGCCGCATCACCGGGCGCCCAACCTGAAACCCCACCCCTTGCCCGTCTGTCAGTCTGCTGGCTCCCTGAGGCCCTGTGTCGCCCCCAGAGCCAGCTGCTCCCAGATAGGCGAGGTGTCTGGCTGTCTGTTACTAGACATGAATCACACAGTGAGAGGCTGAGGCCCACGGACGCGCCTTCTCCCTGCGCCTCGGGGCGGGGGCTGGCTTCTCCATCTTTGCTCCCCAGCGCCTGAACAGGGAGCGTGGTGCTTGGCGAGGGGGTCCGTCATCTGGTGGGCCTCAGCTCCAGGGCAGACCCTGGGTACCAGGGGCCTCTACATATAGGGCTGGGGACCCAAGGCCTGGGGCCAGCCCGCCTCTTACATTCCAGAGGCCTCCTCCATGGCCTGCCTGATATCCCGCAGCTCACTGAGGCACAGACCCAGAGGGCCTGCCCAGGTTGAGGCAGCGGGATCAGGCAGGAAGTCTAGCTGGCAGGGCTGTGTGTGGGCACAGAGTCCCAGCCTCTGATCTGGAATGCAGTGCTGGAGGCTTTGGAGGCTGGGAGCAACTGTGGGATTCTGGGTGCACAGGAATGCCAGCCTGCAGGTGCCCACCAGTGGGTTGCAGACCTCTCAGCAGGCTGGCCCAGGGTAGGGTTCAGCCTCCTCAGGCTTTACCCACAGCATGCCCCGGCCGTGCAGGCTCCGGACTTGGCAGATGTGGGGTTGGGGGGTCACACCTCTGACCACCAAGATGGACGCTGGTCACCTTTACCCCCGCAAAGAGGAAGGTTCCACAGAAGAGGGCCTGTCACCAAAGCATCTCTAACAATTTACAGCAGAATCTGAACCTTTCTACCTCATCCCTGCTTTGCCTGGACTATACCTCCCTCCCGGAAGGCTCATCCCCTTCCCTTTTCTGCTTGTAGAAATTCTTCTACTTCTGAAGCCTGGACCAAATGCCACCTCCTCCATGAAGCTTTCCTGGGTTTCTCTCCAACAGAGGCATTCCCTCTCTCCTTCGGCTCCTTGATCCTATGATGCTCTCACTGGGTCCCTGACATTGGTCTTGCCTATAGGGACAAGACCATCATCCTACTCAACTGTGTGCTTAGGGAGACATGTCACCTTGGGGTGACATGGGCTTCTGTTAGCCCCAGAGTGGGAACCCCATTGCTGTGAACCCCAGGCTGTCAGTCTAGTGGGGACCAGGGTGCATGTTCTGTGAGGACTGGTTGACCAGTTTTCCCTGGGGATCCCCACGACCACACACGGTAGTCCAGGTTCTTGAATTGAACCTCCTGCCCTGATATCCCCAGCAGTCAGGGGTCTTTTCCTGAGGGTCCCCACTCTCTTTCTCTGGCTGGATTCTCTAAATGATACAGATCTGTATACTGGCGAGCGAGGTGCGAGGTAGGGGTGGTGAGGGGTGGCAGGGGGAGCAAGGGACATTAGGGCGGTGGGGGAAGGCCGGAAACCCTGGTCAAGAGCGATGGGCTAAAGTGCCTGCCCTTTACAAGTTGCCACTGTAAATGTCAAACAATATGGCTTCAAAGAGCCGGAAGGTTTCACAGGGTGAAGTCTGGCAAAGCCTGCAACAGTCTGCACACAGTAGGTACGAAAAACAGAGGTGGTTTTCCTTCCTTGGCCAAAAGGCAAAAGTAAGGCACAGCAGAGAAATTGCTTGGGGCCTTGCGTATGAGGATAAACAGGAACAGAAAGTGAAAATTCATTAATTACCAGGAGAAAGTGTCAGCCCGCACAGGACAACGGCCGCTGCAGCTTGGCATCCTCCGGGTACACAGATCCCCACCTGGCATTTGCCACCTGAAGCTGGTTATCGGGAATTCTCCCAAATAAACCAGGTTTAGCTCGACCGCCAATACCTGCCGTGGAGCACGGCCCCTGGGTAATGACTGCACACTGGGAGACTCCCCCTCAGTCTCTGGGAGAGGATGCCACTGCCAGCTCTCATCACCGGCGTGTGCCCCACGCAGGTCATCTCTGCCTGGCACCCACGCGCCATGTCCTCACTCACCGCCAGCCCCTTCCCAGACTTTCCAAGGGGTCCCAAGTGCCTCCACGTACCTCACAGATCTTCTCTAGAGATGGAACAAAGAAGTCGTCACATACTATGGCCAGAGCATAGAACATGTACAGAGCCTGCCAAGGAAATGGAGACAGAGTGTGTCAGCAGGTGCCGCCGCCTGGAGCCATGGCAGGACTGCACCCAACCACCTGCTGGGGCAGACGCCAGTGGACAGAAGGGGCCCGGGAGGAAAAGCCCAGCATTGCAGAGACTTGCTCTCTCGACCGTCTCAGACAGGGAAACTGAGGCTCAGGAGGAGAAGTAACTGGCTGAGCAACAGGGGGCACTGAAACTCTGGCCGCATGATCATGTGCTCTTTTCTTTCCACTTAAAGCAGCAGCTCTCTCCCCAGCACCAGAGCAGCCCACAAAAGGCAAGACCTAAACCTTAAGGGCCAAGAAGGAACAAATTCAGAACTATCCCTTTAAGAGCTTAAAATAATAAGCATCCTGGGCCTCCCTGGTGGCGCAGGCGGTTGAGCGCCGCGCTGTGAAGCTGTCCGCAGCCTCTGCAGTGCCGGTTCCATCCCCGCCCGGCCTCGGAGCAACCCACATGGCGAACAGACCTCTCCTGTCTCGCCCGCTGCTCCCCTCAGCAGTGTATTTCGTCAGTCTGCCTGTTCTGTTCCCCGCTCTGGCTCTGGTGATTCCTCTGGCCCTCCCGTGCATCTGGCCTGTACCCCAGCTCTTGTACAAATAAAATAAATCTTTAAAAAATAATAATAATAAGTATCCTGGGCCTCCCCAGTGGTGCAGGCAGTTGAGCACCGCACTGTGAAGCTGTCTGGAGCCTCTGCGGTGCGGGTTTGATCCCAGCCTGCCAGGGAGAGACCCACATGGCATGGCAGACCTCTCCTGTCTCCCCGCTGCTCCCCTCAGCAGTGTTTTCGGTCAGTCTGCCTGTTCTGTTCCCCGCTCAGTCTCTGGTGAATCTTCTCACCCTCCCGCACATCTGGCCTGTACCCAAGCTCTTGTATAAATAAATCTTTAAAAGATAAAAAATAATAATAATAATAATAATAAGCATCCTGCTTAGCGAAGTCTCCATTTATCAGGTGCCCAGGCCCTACTCTAATGAACACCTATCTGGGATCTGGCATCTCCCGGGGCCCTCCTTAGTCCTGGCAGACGTCACGAGCCATTTGCGCAGGGAGGTTCACAGAACAGGGTGCAGCGTCCAAGGCTGATCCTGGGAATCAGGGTCATGTGACTTTGTGATCAGTCACATCTCTAGGCCTAGTTTCTCCTGCTGTTTAGTGATAGAGTAAGATGAGATCAGGACTTTTAAAATGGTTTTATAACAGAACCCTCCCTGCCCCGTCTGACCAACATGGCTTTACGGAGCTCCCCCGGCGTGCCTGGCGTGACGCCAGCCCTCGGGACACGCGGTGGGAAATGCCAGGAAAGGCCTCTGCCTCCTGTCACGTTCACAGGGTCGGTCTCTGTAACTGCTGGGAAGCAGCAAGTGCAAGGTCACCGGTGCAGGTAGGACAGCACGGGAGTGAGGGGGAAAATGGAGGAGGCCAGAGTGAAGGGAGCGGCAAGGACCAGGGCCCAGAGGAAGGAGATGGAATTTTACACTAAACGCTGGGGGAAGCCATTTCTTTCTTCAAATAAAAGGTGCCACAGATGCCTGGCTCACAAGAGGGACACCCAGCCAGGCGCCTTCGTCAGAACAGTGTGACACTCCAACAACGTCACAAGGGATCATGGTTAAATACCGTGGACAATGACTCTGTTTTGGCCAAGGCACTCAAAGCAGGTTCCAGGCCTGGCTGCACCTGGCTTTGACTCTGTCTTTTGGGAGGAAGCAAAAAGGAACAGATACTGAGGGTGGCTTGAATAAAGGTCCTGGCTTGAACTCCCACCTCCAGAAATTTCCACCAACATCATCTCCCAGGCAAAGTGTGTCCCGTGAAGTCCAAGGAGCTCTGGCTCCCCTGATCCCCTAGAAACACCGAGAGCTGCAGACAAAACTGGCTCCAAAGCTCGAGCCTTGTCTTGCTCTAACGAAGGGGTCAGCAAACTTTTTTCAAAGGGCCAGGCAGTAAGTACCGTATTTTTCAAAGGTCACAGTCTCTGCTTCAGCCACTCTGCTGCTGGAGAACAAGAGTGCTCATAGAATGGGCGGGCTTTGTTCCAATAAAACCTTATTTATAAAAACAGGCTGGATCTAGCTCTCTGGTCATAGGTTCCTAACTCGTAGTCTAATGGGGTCCTGCGGAATTCCGGAGGTGCTCTCAGGTTCACGAAAGAGGTCTCGTGTCAGTCACACCAGGACTTTCAAGAGGCAGGGCCACAGCGTGGAAGCCCTAGTCAGCAGACTCACATCCCCTGTGTGAAAGGGGAAGGAGTGGGGACACCAGAGAGGCAGGTGGTGACAGCTCCATTATAGAAATAATAGACAGGCCGGTCACTCATGCCTCAGCCTCATCTAACCTTCATTTTCCTTAATTGTTCGTCCTGTTAATTAAAACTTCACTCGTTCATTATTCTCCGGTGGTTACTATCTATGTGAGAGTCCCAGCTTTCACTTTCTTCGTTATTTTTTGCAAAGACTAATACTTGGTTGGGTTTAAACAGATAAGCAGATGGTGCCGGGTGGCTGGGAAACCTAACCGGTAGGAAAATTTGCTGTGATTGATCCAAAGTAGAAAAGCAGACCGTGACCAGCTTCATTTCCCGGCAGCATACAACAGGGTTGGCAAGCTTCTTCTGCCAGGAGACAGACAGTAAACACTTTAAAGCTTTGTGGACCATGTAGTCTCGATCACGACTACTCAGCTTTTTGCCACTGAAGCGCAAAAGCAGCCACAGGTGACATAGCTGTGAGCGAAAGGGCTGGTTCCAATAAAACTTTATTGACAGAGATGGGCCATGGTTAGGGCTGGAGTTTGCCCGGCCCCATCAAAAAAGAGTGACTTTTACCTGTAATTTGGGTTTGAACCCACTATTCCTTTCTGAATTGCCCCTCGAATGTCACCATTTGTCATCAAGGCCAATACAAAGGGGGGGTGTTCTGAGGAAAAGTGCACCCACATTTAAACTCTAGTTATGTTGAGGTGGCAAAATTGGGGGGGAATTTGTGGAAATTAGGAGAGTACTTTTTTTTTTAATAGTAAGAATTGAAAGACAGTACTTATTGCATGCCAAGCCATGCCTGGTGCCCTTGGCCCACATTCACTCATAGTTAGGACATCTGGGATGGGCACCTTGCTCACTTTATGAAAGCAAAAAATGAGGCCAAGAAGACTGGCTCTGGGGCCCTGGCTGTGTGGCACTGAGCAAGGCACCAATACCGTTAAGGTGCTTCGTGGGTGACACTTGTCAGCACCTAGAGAGTGGGGGAAGTATCTCCTTCCATGCTTTTGTGCGTTGAGCCTGGGCACGTATCTAACACTTAGGGACGCCCCCTGTGAGGCCACTCACCCCGAGGATGTGCAGCAGGACGGCTCCGTGCTGTCGCTCCTTGTTGGAGAACAGGTCCGTGGGGAACTCGTGAATGGCTGGAAGACAAGAGGACACCAGGGAGTTAGTGATGGGTGGGCCTCCCCATGCACCGGCCTCCCCATGCACCTCGCTGAGGCCTGGCAGCCCAAGGAAGGGCCCTCCCGGCTTCTGATGGCCCAGGCCAGAGCCCAGCTCTTTCCCGAGGCCAGGCAGACCCGCACTCTTAGGGAAGAGATATTCTAGCACCTTAGAGTTGACTGCGTTTCACACACGCCTTCGGTTTTATATTAAAATGTATGAAGCATTCATGCCCAAGGATGGCCATGGTCAAAAGGACTGATAATAACAAGGCAGGTGAGGGCGTGGGATGCGGGAGCCTTGTTCCCTGATGGGGCACAGCCCTTTGCAAAACAGCCTGGCAGTTCCACCAAAGCTTAAAGAGAGTTAGTTACCACAGGACCCAGCAGTTCTGCCCTCATGTGTCTGTCCAAGAGATAGGAAAACAAAGAGGCATAGAAAATGTGCACACAATGTCTACAGCATTTGTAGAAATGACCCAGACGCCCAGCAACGAGTGAATGGACACATGAAATGGGTCTGTTCAGACAACGGACTGTTTCCTGTCAATGAAAGAAGTACTCGCACGCACTACAAATGGGGGAACCTTCAAAACATTCAAAGTGGAAGAAGCCAGTCACAAAGACCACACACTGTAAGATTCCATCTACAGAAAATGGCCACAACAGCCAGATCACGAGACAGGTAGATTGGTGGCTGCTTCCTGGGTGCTGGCAGGCATAGGGGTTTGGGCGGTGACATCTAAGGGGTGCAGGGTTTCTTTGGGGCAAATGGAAATGCTCTAAAATTGTTTTTGTGGTGTTTGCAAAATTCTGAATATACTAAGAACCAATGAATTGTACATTTTAACTAGGCGAATCGTACGTTACATGAATTATAACTCAATAAAGTTGTTACCCAAACCAAGAAAGTATAAAAATGTCAAGACATCAAAGAGGAAAATCAGGGGAGGCCCCTTGTTCATCAAAGTCCTCTCATCACATTCCCAGCAGGAGCCCCCCAACAGGCTTCAGTGTATGCTCGGATCTGTTACAGGCAAAAGCCACCAGCAGCCAGGCTGAGGCCTGGGACGTGGGTCCCGGGCGAGGGTCAGGCCCCACCTCGTGCTGCCAGGTTCAGAGCCCGGCTCCAGTGTGTATGGGCTGCGTGTACAGGGCATGACCTCTTTGTGCCTCAGTTTTCCCATCTGTAAAATGGTGAGACTGATTTTCATGTGTTACGTTTACATCATTTCAAGCTTGTGGTGAACCCAGGATTCTGGAATATTCTTCCTGTGCCATTGCCAGATTGAATCCAAGGATGGAGAAGCCTAAGAAGCAGGCTCCGTGAAAGGAGCGGGGGAGATGCTGGGGACCCCTAAGGCATGCGGCGCTGAGACAAGGAAGACACCAAGGCGGTGGCTGTACGGACTGGGACTCTTTCTCGTGTCTGTGAAACTATGTCTGGGGACGGACTAGATTAGGAAAAAAAATAAATAAATAACCTGATAGTGCGGAACCTTGGTGGTAAATATGTGCCGGGACAAGGCCACATGCTGAGAGAGTGCTTCACTGACTAGTAATTAACCTGGGGGGGGGGCTGCTTGTATCAATAAACATGAGTTGCACCGGCACTCGGGACGCTTGAGCACGAATGAGAGGCCTTGCGTCCCCGGCTCCCGCCTCTCTCGAACTCTACTTTGCGTCTATCACATCTCGATAATTTCCTCGGCTCAGTCGGATTCCTCTCTCAACCCTGTTCACCGGAGCTGGACTCCGGCAGGTAAACGTATCCCCTCCCCTGGGGTCACTCTGGCGCCTGCTCCCCTCGCCCTCCAGGTGCACAGGTGTGCTGTGAAAACCCTCCCAGCCTGTCCAGGCCCACTCGCGCCGTCTCTCAGGCTCACCTTTCCCCCACATGCATCTGTCACTCCAGATGGGGGAAGCTGAGCTTCCAAAGGGGTGAAACGATACTGTGCGGGTCAGGGATGGCAGTGCAGTCACTAGAAACAACTCCTGACGCCCAGCTGAGCTTTCTTTCAAGGGTCACACACGGAGCAGGGAAAATGATCAACAGGAGGTGAGGCTCGGGTCTGAAGCAGGACCGGAGAGGAGGGCTGAGAGCACGGCGTCCCGTGAACCCCAGGCCCCTCAGGTGCTGAGTGTGTTCCCACTGGCATCTTGGTCACGGGTCATAGGTCACAGGGCCGCCCCTTCGGCCCCGAGAATACATTGCCATTCACCATCCTGGATGGTGGGTTACCTGCATTGGGAATCAGATGCCCACCCCTGCCACCCTCGTCCCCCACAGGGAGACTGAGCAACTCATTTGCTTGGGCATCAGGATGCTCGTGGGTAAGGGAGGGATGATTCCTTCTTGCTCCCCATTCGAGGGAACTGATGGACTCAGTCCCACACCCCAGCTCCCCAGCTCTGGTCCTCAGACTGGAAGCATCTGGAAGGCAGGATTCCACACTGCCCTGGAGTCCATCCTTAGTACCCTGTCCAGAACTTGCACACAGTAGGTTTTCAATAGTCCTCGCCAGTCAACTGAATAAGCACTGGCAAAGTACTAACAAGATGCAACCTGCATCATCTCCAGCTCTCAGGATGCTCTCACTGTCCTTGCAAACCTTGTAAATACCTCGAGGGTCACTGGCTCGCAGTGGGCACTGGATAAATGCTTGTAAATACACTTCCAGACAAAAATTCCTCCTCTGGAAATATAACTTGGCCCCAAGCTCTGAAAGTGACGGTTTCTCCCTTCTATGGAAACCTTTCTGCTTTTTAAGATCAGATTCTCTCAATAAGACATAGAAAACAGTTCCCCAGACACCCAGAAAACGCTCCCACTTTAAAGCAAGCAGCATTTAATGAAATATATAATTCGTTCCCTTCTTCTCTTGTTTTCCTGAAATCAAACTTCCTTAATAGAATCGCTGCTGTCAGTTCAAGGGCAAGGATCTGCTTCAAGGCTGTCAGCTCAGAGACAGAGACTATAAAAGGGAGACACTGGCATTCCTGTGCCCAGGGCCTTGTTTCCAGGGGAAAAGCTGCCATCCGGGCTATCTCAGTGCAGATCAAAAGACATTTCTGCCATGAATATTCGAGACACTTCCTGATTCCCCAGACCAGACGGTGAGTTACCCAATCCTGGGAATTCTTTGAAAATTAGAACAAAGTCAGGCTGCCTCTCTGCCGTGAGGACCTATCACTGGCCGCCGCAGGGAGGGAATGTGGGTTATTCATGGCTTTGTCCTTGGTGGGAACTCGCATCTACTGGCTCGGCCACGCGCCTCGCTTTGCAACCTCAGGTCCACGCTGGGGGCTGTGGAGAAGAGTGACCGCCATCCAGGGCTTAATATGCCCGCAAAGACAGCCAGTACTCAGCAGAGCTTCCAGCAGCTAACGGCCCATTACCCAGCCAAGTCTTCCAGACACATCCTGAACCCACGAGGCAGGGACTATCGCCGCAAGCACCCTGCTTTCCAGAGGAGGACGAGGAAAGGGGTCCACTCTGGGCCCCCAGAATACAAGTCAGGACCCCCCAGGGCCCCTCTGTACCTCCTGGAGTTAGGGGTTGCCTTTAACACAGATGGAGGGAGATGGAAGACCTAGACTGAAGACCTCAACTGCCCACAAGCTGGGGGGCCCCAGCTGAATGGCTTAACCTCTGAACCTCTGTTGACCGCGCGCAATCTGCTGCTGCTCAAGGTGCTGAAGAGTCAGGGTTACGGGTGCACGGCAGGTCCTGGCAAGGAGGTCAGAGGCCGGTGCGGGCAGATGGCTGCCCACCTCCTCGGCTGGCAGCTGGCAGCTGAGACCAGTCCATTCCCCAGGGCACGACTCAAATCCTGTAGAAACTGGGGGTGGGGGGTGTAGGCCCCAAGCATGCGTGGCAGGAGCTGTGTCCCTCCCACCAGCAGCAGCAGCGACAGCTCAGGAGTGCGGGCAGCCCACACGGCTGCTCGGCCAGGGGCTTTAGAAACAGACGACAGGGTTCAGAAGTGTCCGGGCCCTTGTTAATCCCCACAGGACCCAGGCGAGTGTGTGACACCGAGTGGGGGTGACTTCACCCGGAAAAGGGGAGCGCGACAGCACCTGCCCGCCAGCCCAGGGAGGCAGGGCACTCTGAGGATGGCAAACTCACAGAGCCCGCCTTCCACCGGGCTTCTGTGCCCAGGGCTCCAGGGGACACGCCAGGGGTGTGAAAGAGAAAGCAAGACCAGCATGGTGGGGAAAAGAGAGGTTAGACCGGCTGCAGGAGGGTGTGCTTGCTGGGCGCGATGCTGATGTTAGAGCGGGGCTGAGCCCGCCCTGTCTGCGCCAGTCCCCACGGGAGGAGGGAGGAATCCCGGGGCCTGCACACGAGGGCACGCCTAAGCCTTTAAGCTGCAGAAATCCGGGGGTGGAGGGCGCAGGGCGAGGAAAGAGATGTGGAGCCAGACTTAGGAAACCTGGGATGATCCCAGCGCCCTCCACATGGGGCTGCGTGTGGGGGAGCCTGGGGAAGTGGGGGAGCGAGAGCTGCTAACACCAGAAGCCATTCCCCACTCTGCTTGTAAGGAATCTTCCCTGTGGGCCTCGAGGCCCAGAGCTGGCTTCCCCACCACGCCTGGATCTCCACACAGTCCTCGCCACACACCCCAGGAGGCGGCCTCCATTCCCTCCCGTGTGCCATTTGCTGCCAGACGCCTACCTGAGCAGGGAAGGGAAACCGCTAGATCCCTGGGGACAAAAGCACCCCCCTCCTCACCACCAGCTAACCCAGTTCTCTAACACCCCATAAACCTCCCTTGGAGCCCCTGAGGCGCACTTGACCTTTTCTGTCGACACACAGTTACATGATGATGCCATTACATCTCAGAAACCTTGAATTAGTGTTGCCCTTTCAAAGCTCATACTTTCGCCAACATTGCTGCTTGTGCTCAACATGTATTAATTTGTTCAACAAGTATTTACCGGGTCCTCTCTGGGAACAGCTGGGTGAGGCCCAGAGG